ATCACAGTTTGCAATTGAGTATCTAGCATCTTCCACGTGACCTCCCGGAATGTTTATTTTACTGCGACCTCCCGCAGCGAGAACTGAAGGGAAATATGACCTTCCCGTATCCTGAATACGGCCCGCGCGTCCTTTGACGTATTTCGATTAATATCAAGCGATTGACTTGCTACAGTACATGCTATGCAATTTTTTGTTTTATTTAATCACTGTTCTCCATAAACAAACACCTGATGCTACCGAACGTTATGTTTTTTTCCCTGACACTGCGTTTCGTGTGATCCGCATTTATGATACTTTTCTAAAGTTATTATTTCTAACCAGCTGTTCATGATTTTCAAAATAACTTAGTTTGTTGACCTCAAGACACTTTTTATATAAAATTTATATTTGTATATTTAAGCCCATTTCCAGCATAAAATGAGTTCTTTGAGCATTATACCATGCGTATTAAGGTGCGCTTCCTACGGTATTTATTGTAGATCTTTCTGGGTTTAGCCGTTAAAGTTACCTCTGAAAGATTACCTCACTACTGCATCTACTGCATTACCTGTTTACGAAAGGCAAAATATATTTTCGCTTAGAGCCTTCCTTGTAGGGTTCAAATTTCTAGCCACCGATGCATTGCACCTGATGTTTGAATCTGATCTTAAGGAATTTCTAAACATTGACATTTTTCAGTCAGTGCCCAACCTGTTTACTTAAATCGCGGCTCTGTTTAGTCTGATTGTCGGCAAAAGTCACAATGCAAATAAAGTTTCTATGACATAGCTGCCGAACGTAGTCGACTCGAGATACGCAGTAACTACCAGTTTGCTGACAAAAACTAACAGTTCTTAATTAATGCAAACTTTTAATTCTAATGAGAAGATTTAGATGACTAAGTTCTGCCAAAATATACCTCATGTCCGAGGACTTGTGTCATGATGGAATGCAAAAATCAAGTTTTTAAATTCGTCCCCTACAGCTAACCTATTTCTTGTCCAGTTTTATCAGTTTCATTGTTTGAGCCCGTTTTAAGCCTTTTGATTGTTTAAAACTGGTGTTCTAGAAGATCAATGCGCTCGAATATGAGCACCAAAAACTCAGAAAAAGAAAAGACTGCTTCAAAAACATTTTTTTATTAGGTTAGACTCCTCATAATGCCGTTGACTAAGTCTGAGAGATACCTAAGAAATAAAGATTACATATAGAGGATGTCATTTAACCTATTGGACAGCATGTATCGAGAATCTTTATAGTTTCCTCCGGTAGTTCTTTCGCTGGCTTTAGTCACACAACTAGACCATTGCCGTCGGGTGAACGGGTTGGGTTGCAGCTCTACCAATATCCCAGCCCTGTAGTATGATGGTGGTGGATATCACTAGGTTCTGTTGCATCCCCACCTCCGTCTACGAACCAAGTCCTATCAAAAATGTAAAATCACCAAAAGCAGTAGCAGGTTTGAAGGGAGAAGATGAAACCCTGTGAGTTGATTAACCGAGACATGAAATGCACTACCATCGACATGAGAAGTAGAGGCTAGTGTGATTAATAACGATTACAGGGTTCGTTCTCTCTCCGTCTGCATTCTCGTGTGTGCAGTCGTACGTTCGTGGTGAATTCAAGTTGTACCGTTTCTCAACACGCAGAGGCAAGGTCATCAAAACAGAATTTCCAAGACCTACCTATGCAAGTAATTAAATAAAATCGATCAGTGCTGTATCGCCATCGGTCAAAAGGGAGTGGGCTGCGTAAGCCTGAATTTAAGCAGCACCGTTTGTAACAGGGGTTGTTTGAGACAGCGTTGCAAACGTTGCCAACTTAATCTCATTACAAATTAGATTACGGCATTATGGCCCTGAAAGAATGAAAATTCAGTGGAAGTTGTATATTTTAAAAGCATAAAGATAAGCAGTAAAATATCGGGAATGTAGGCTCTACCAACTCTGCTTAGGTGTTTTGCACCCTTTACATTGTGGCGCGCATGACGCCATAAGGAAAGGACAGGATAAAGTTTAAAAAACATGGCAGTTCTACTAACCTCCAAGATGTCACCAACATTGACGCTCAGTTCTCTGGCTGCTTCACTCACGTTCTTTTGCTTTGCAACAACGAGTCTAGATTTAAGCAAAATGCGTTAGGAGACTGAATAAAGACAAGGGAAGGCCGATAGAAAAAAAACATTTACTGCATAGTATTGACGATTGCTTATATTTGCTACGCTATTAATCTAATTTTGTTCAAACTGTATTCTATAGGAGATTATTCGCGATTTACTTTTAACAAAGCACACAAAAATTAGAATAAGATTAACGAGTTATGTCATACTGAAGTAATGTCTAGGGGTGTTTTCTGATTAAAAGCAGAATATAAAATTAAGTCAAACTTGTAGTCAATTCTGAGCCGAGACCATCTTGCTCCAGTTTAAATTGCTAGACTGGGATCTGTTGTAAGGGCTATGTTTCCGAACGTCAGAATATGCAAATGCATCAGCTGATTAATTATGTATTGTTAAAATAGGTTTAAATATTGTGACATAAATTGTTGCACAATAAATTGCAAGAGCTTTTAGAGGGATAAAATTCCTCACTAAAGTTGCCGCCAATTCTTTAAAAATTGTCTCATAAATATTTTACAGATTTTTTACCACTCTGGACACAAAGGTTCAGATCAATGTTTTTGTTAGGCAAATAGGCATTAGCACCCAAGGTTTTCCTGGGCGAAGTTAACTATTTGCCTGAAGTCATAGGTAAGATTGAACATCTTTTTTTTCAGTAGATGCATAACGAAGAAAATACAATTATTCATACGCTATTTATATTGTACTGACGTTGGCTCGTATCAGCCTCCGGAGAAAACGACTCAGGTTTTATGAGGACTTTGATCTTTTAAGGGGCAAAACAAGCATACGGGAACCAAAAGGAAAGATCCCTTTTCCAACCCCGTGCCCAACTGGTAGAGCATAGACTATTTTGAACAAATATCTACCTACAAGGAACAATAAGTTATTTTTGAAGTGCAAAGGTTGACTACAGTTTGGATCTGTCATAAGGTTAGCCAAAGAGGTCAAATGTCAATAAGATAACCCAATAGTCGTCGTTTGGACAGCACCCTATCTACCTAAATCTAGGTAAGAAGAGAAAACGGTCCCGATAAGCCAACCCGTTTGAAGAAAAAATAATGTCACTCAAGACTTACTGGCCTTTGCGTGCACGAACTGCTTTGATAAAGTCCTCAAGATCCGGTGGCTTTGATTCTCTTGCTGAAGACGCTGCGCTTATTGCTTGAAATTAAAAAAGGTAACTTGATTCGCAGTTATTATTATTCGTAAGCGCTTTTTACAAATGCAACTAAATAGGTGGAATGACTAAAACATTTTTGTGGCCTCAGAGGCATAGGTCTCTTCAAACTAAACGGCATATGAACTGACCAGGCCAAAATACTTACTTGGCGCAGGTTCTAAATAAAAAACGACAAATATAAGTGAAAACCTTATTTGGGAAAACTGCACTAATTCAGCAAAAAACATGATTTGGATACCAGACTGGTAAAAATAATTCATAACAAATCAACATTCCTAATGCCCATTTAACTTGCGCGTAAGATCATGTGAACTTCACGCAAAAAAAGTTACCGGGCATTGTTAATAGGGAAGTAATTTTTGAATGGGTGGCCTCAGCTTATGCAAAAAATGAATGAAATTTAAAATAGAACGTGATCAGCCAAGTAAATTAATGCTTGTGGGTCAATTTACAGCCGGATAACTGTACAAGAATGCTAAATATTTTTGCTGGAGAGTGTTTATAAATAACTGCTCCATTTTTTGTTGTAGGCGAATGCCTTGCTTTAATTCGTGGATGATGGAAAATTCACAGAATGAGCCATTGTCTAACGAATTTTAGATGGTTAACGACAGCAAAGGCCCTCTTGTGGAACTGAAGGAAACAGTTTTTATAACGCTTTGGCAAACTGCAATCGTTTGGAATTATTGTAAAGCTAAAGAATTTATGTTTATGCTTTTCGCACCTTGTAGAAATTGATTTTGGGCAATTTGAAGTAAATAGATGGACTACGTTAACCCTGCTTATTAGGGTAATTTTGAATGCCAATATGAAAATTACCAGGCAACATATGAAATGTTACTTACTGTAGTATCCGTAGTCCCTTATTGTGATCTCCGGCTTAAATTCTTGCTAAAAGGATAAAATCGGAGCAGAAATATTAAAACGCCATCACTTATGTGAAGACTAGTAAAATGTCCTTTCAAATGTTGCAAATATTTTCAACTTTAGACTTGATTGTACGTTTACAAACTAATTTTGTGTGGACGTACGGTATTCTCGATAATATTTGTCCTTTCTTGTGAAAATATATTCATACTTGACTGCAATGTAGGCCTTCCGCTAAATTAGAAACAAAGCAAATTATGCTGGAAACGACATACTGTGATCCACATTTTTTTATAAAACGGTTGCAGAACAAATATGACAATAAAATGCCAGAGTCAGAGAGTACGCTTAGTCTGTATAATTTTGTAGATCGAAAAGCTTTCAAAAATTTAATTGTTAAAGTCAAAGTTTCTTCTCCGAATTCCAACCTACTGCCAGTTTTTTTAAAGTTGAACGCCGTTTTGAACGGCCTTTGGTGTCAACATATGTTATTTTACACTGCATTGTCATTTATGATCAAATTATTTTGCTTATCGTTCTCAATTTATGCTATAGAATAATGTAGCCGTTTATATGCTCAGTTTATATTTTGAGAGAGATCATCTTAAAATGTTCAAGTCTACGGTAAAAACGCCTTTTTTCTCACATATTTTTGTTTATTGTTAAGAAAACTCAAATATACCTGACTAGAACTACCCTTAACTTTTCAATTTTCCATGCAAGGCAAGCCACAGCATACACAGATTTGTTTTAACAAATATCTTATAACAGATGTCTCCGCAAGGCGCATGCCAAAGACCTAACTAATGAGTTGAATTTGATTCTTAATAAGTATGCAAAAAGCGAGACAATTACAAGCACAAACATTTGCCTCTAAGAAGAAAGGAATCGAAAGGTAGCTGTTTAGTCTACTTGATCAACTTCATGCGTGACAATCTTCAATGGGTTTTTTGGGTGAAGTTGGCAAGAACTCGGAAGATGCAGACCAAAAAAATTCGGTCTACATCGGCTTAACGAAGATATCCGCAGTAGACGTCTTAATTTAGTCGAAATGACAACGTATTTGAACATGAAAACAACTTTAGTTTATTGGGCGGCCGACAGTGCTGTATGTATGAGTAAGGCTACGTATAAATACGTAGCGGCATCAAGTGCTTAACCGGGGTTTGAAGTGCATTCTTCGTTACGGAAGTGGTCATTGTATCTTGTATCATGGAAAGAATGGTAATCAGTTCAGTTGTTTTCTCTTGGAAAAAGATTATTCTAGAGACATAGTTAATTTAAGCATTAAATGTTTTTAAACACAATTCAACGCAGAACAAACATTTGTTCATGCTCGCTGGTATTTACAAGTCAAATGGGAGGAAAGGAATTAACACAGTAAAAATACGTAAGCAATAACGAGCAACGGTGAACACAAACGATGCATAGGAGTTATACCCTAAACACCAAACGTTAAGAGTTAACTGACGCTAATTATGGCTTAATATGGCAGTCGATAGTAAAAAATATTAATGACATATAACAGCATGGCGTTTTAAAGACAAACCCTGGTTGTGTCCACGCGTCACCCAAACTGCTCCAATATGCCTTATTCTGCGGCTCTAAGTATCGCATTAACAATGATAGCGATCGGTCTGTGAAAGGTGGCTTTGAGACTGAGCGAATCATGTTCGGGTTGTACTGCACCACACGGTTTGAATCACAAATCTTCTGGATCCACCAAAGCGACTCGAAGAGCCTATTAAGAAGTTCACCGGGGCCTGGATCTGTAATGAGATCCCCTAATTCTGCTGTGTAGTTGATGCATGTTCGAATGTTTTGAATATTTCGGACGGCTGTCTCATAGGACGGAGGACTCAAACTGTCTCGCCAAAGTGATCCTATGAGAGAAATAAAATTTTAAATTCAATGTTTCAGTACAGCAGAAATGTTAATGAATTGCATGAAGAGTGTCATCACAAAACTACAGGTTAAACAGGTAGGGTTGATATTTTTAACAACGCTTAAAAAGACATAAAATAAGAGTATAATCTTTAAGAATTTCAACAAATATTTTATGCGAATTACTTACTTAGAATGTATCTATATGAATTTTCCGACAATTGTTATTTTATTATTGCAGCAATGCGTACTGGAACTATGTCGATAAAATACCTTGCATGTCTTGATGAAACAACAATGAGTATCGGTTTTTATTGCGAATTGCCAGCTTAAAAGTGATAAATGTTTTTTTTAAGTGTCAATGGGTTTAGTCCGTTGATACAATGTATTAGTTTTATACTGCCCGATGAAGAGTATTTCATTTTTGCATTGTGGAGATGGTTACGCTTCTCTCACTCTATTTTTAACTGACAAAAGATTTTCTTGGGAAGACTACTAAGGAGATTTGTTTCTAAGAACTCTTTCTCAAATAATGCTGTTGGAGTTTTGTGCTCATTATATTTTCCTAACATTGCGAGTGGCAGAAGTCGAGTTCATTGGTGCTGTAGAGAATAAAATAGTCCAACCTTAGTTTTCTTATCGAGCAATGAACCATTAAACGTTTTATTAGTAAAGCAACAGTGAGATTTTATTTTTAAATAGGCCAAAAACGCACTATCAATTTTTCCAGAACCCGGAATCTGAAAGGTAAGTGCATCATGGAGGTTGGCCTCGAAGGATTCTATTTCAGCAAGAAGGCGGTTGAGCTCCTCAAGAAGGCCTGTGTCGCTAGTTGCCTAGTAAAGTAAGATATTATGCTAAACTTATATTATATTTTTGAGAGGCTCATATAAACATATACCAGATAGAGTAATGCTGAACTTACCTGCTTAGGAACCTTCCTGATTTTTTCTGGCCGATCAATTGCATCCTTCCGTTTTTTTATTGACCGGTGTGGCATATCCCTTGCCCGTTTATGCTCTTGGTTAACTCTGCACCATTTAGATAAAAATACATTTTACCTTGCATTTTCCGCAGCTATTCCTATCGTGTCCGTGGCCCATTTCAAATTTGCTTCTGTGCCAAGTTCGAAGATATGCACTTCGTCCGGACACTCCCCATTGGTCAGTTCGCTAGCTCGAAACCGGAAGACTAGCAGGTGTTGGTCATTTTTCTTTGTACTTAGACCTTGAACCTCGTCTATGCATCGCAAGTCGAAACATTCGGATGGGTCCTAATAATGTAAACCTGACAAAAAATATATTTTACCGCTTCGCTATCGATCCAAATCGTCAGGTATTCGTCCTCAACTATCTCAAGACGACAGTCCAGAAAGTTGGCATCAGGTAGCCGGGTGACCGTTCTAAGATTTTGCATAATGTCGTTATTAGTCATAGGTCCTTCGTGCTCCAAGAAGCTGGCCACATGCTGGGCGCGGATCGTTTCACCCATTTTGCGTTCTTCTGAAACAAATGATCCCACATTTAAAGTAATATAACGTGGTAGAGATTAAACAAATATTTAAAAAAATTGTAAATGCACGTGTAAAATATAAAAATGGGAGGGCAATAATATATTGCTATACCCTATGTGCACAGGCGACGGGGATAAATGGGGGTAAACGGGGATTACCCCG